AGAGTATAGGCACCACAGCCAACATTCAACCAGACCACTAAATTCATGCTCTCCTAACTCTGACCTTCCTCCAGACGCTATCTTCTCTCTTACTGACTGATACACATCCCACAGAGATGCATTACGCTATTATTGATTGATCTGGCTTCAGCAGTTGAAAGGTTTAATTAAACTATCATTTTTACACTCAATAATTGCCATTTTGTTCCTTCACAGGAAGGTGTGAGAATTAATTTTTATTTGACTGCCAACATTTATAAAACTCATAATCTCCTTGGAGAAATAAAGAACAATAAAAAAAGATTAGTTTATGGGTTCAGCTCTGCGTAACACCTCCCAACCAAATCAGTCCCTAGAGGCTCACCAAACAAGGAGCTTCATTTTATTCAGCAGGTGCTTATTAATTATTTCACTTCCAGACACCATTCTAAAGGCTAGGCACAGCAAACGACAGATATGGTCTTTGCGCTCACAGAACTGTCTAATAGGGAAGAAAGAAAATTGAAACAAACACATAAAAGAAGGTATGATGAGTAATGATAGAAGTTGGTTGGAATCCATTTGCTCCTGCTCGGTGCCCATGGAGCCTTTGGGGTTTTTGTTTATTTTTCTTTGAACTGAAAAGAGTTCTCTTAGTCTCTGGCTTCTAGTTAGGTTCAGACAATGAGGAAGGTAGGAGAGTGGGGTCAGCATACTTATTCCCCTGGATACCCTCTTTGAGGTAGCCATAGGCTGGCAATAACCTTCAACCAAAAGTCACAGTTTTGAATACGTTTTTATTTTGCTATTGCTCTTAGAAGATTGTTTTTCTGGGTATAAAAATTGGGGCCATAAAACTAGCATTTACTTTGATTTTGGTATTGTAAGGCTATCATTCCATAGTCTTCTGACCTCTAATTGCTTTTGAGAAGTCAACATTTGGTCTAATACTTATTGCTTGTAGATGATTTTCTTTCTTTCTCATTGCTTTCAAGATCTTGCTTTCCTCTTTAGTGTTCTGTAGTTTAACTCTTACATTGCTAAGTGAACATTTCTTTTTATTTATCCTGACTAAGATTTGCTGGGATTCCCGAATATGAGATTGTGTCGTTATAAGAAGAGGAAGACAGAACAGAGCTCTCTCTCTGTCTCTGCCCTGTCATGACACATCAAGAAGGTAGCTGTCTGCAAGCCGGGAAGAGAGCTCTCACAAGGAACTGAATCTGCTGGCACGTTGACCTTGGAATTCTCAGCCTCCAGAACTGTGAGAAATAAATTCCTGTTCTTTAAGCCACCCAGTTTATGGTATTTTATTATGGCAGCCCAAGATGACTAACATACGATGCCTGTATCACACTACACAATTTCATTCTGGGGGATTAAAATCATAATTAGGAAAGCCAAAACTTTAAAACTTCTTCTAATAGAAAATATAGGAGAAATGTCTTTATGACATAGGGTAAGGAAAGATTTCTTGAACAAGATGCAAAAATGCTAATTTACAATGGAAAATATTGACATTTTACTACATTAAACATAAGAACCTCTATTGATCAAAAGATACCATCAAGTGAGTACAAAGCCATAAATTGAGAGATGATGTTTGTAATACACATCACCAACAAAAGATCTTCCTCCAGACTATATAAAGAACATATATGAATCAATAAGGAAAAGAAAATAAGCACTTTGCAAGAAAGGAATTATGAATGACCAATAAACATATCAGAAGATGGTCCACCTTGGCAACCAAGGAAATACAAATTACATATCATTTTATACGCATGCCTACACACTCATGTTAAACTGTGTCAACTGCAAGAGTTGGTGACAATGTGGAGCATTAGGAACTGTCATACCTCACTAGTGGGAGGATCAATTTGTACAGACACTGTGGAAAAGAACTTGGCATTGCCTAGAAAAGTTGAACACGTGTGCACCTTATCTCAATCAGGAATATACCCTACAGAAATTATTGCAAATGTGAAACAGATGCGCACAAAGATGTTCTCTGCAGTATTATTTGGAATCATAAAAAACCAATAACAACCCAAATATCATCAATACAAGAAAGCTAATTTGTTGTATATAACTCAATGGGATATTATAGCGACGGAAATATGTGAACCACAGTGCCATTCATCTCTATTGCTAAATGTCATAATCAAAGTGGACTGAAAAAAAAAAAAAGTCAAAGAAGAGCTATGAAAAGCAGAAACAGACAAAACCAAATAATATATTGTCTTACAAATATGCCACAATATAAATAAAATTCAGGATAGTGGTTTCCTCCTGGCAGGAGTGAACTGAGAGGGAACGTGAGGGAGGGCAGCCCAAGGGTCAGCAAAAGTACTGGTCATGTTCTGTTCTTCAGCTGAGGGGTGGGTTCACGCCCATTCATTTCATTATTCCCTCACTAACCTGTGCGTGAACCCTATATACACTGTGTTATATACATGCTACATTATAAAAACGGAAACTTGGCAAATCTCAGATCTTCATGCTCAGTCTCTGTACAAAGTCACATTCAAAAAAGCACAGTCAAAACAGCCTCAAATAATAATTTTTAAAATAGAATTTTAAAAAAGTATATGGCAGATTATGAAATAATTATGAACAATCCATTCTCATGACCTCCCCTCCCCTGCTGGCCATCCAAAGGCCTAGATCAATGTTCAGAATATTTATTGTTTGCCTGAGGAAACAACTGAGAATTTTGAGACCTTTAGCTTTAAAAGGTCTCCTCAGCTCTATGGAAATCCAGGATTCTCCAACAATGGACAGGAAACCCCTAGTCCTGGGACAGTGCTAAAATGGCAGTGATCTCAGGGCCAGAAGGTCTCTGCAGACTGACCTTCTATATTCTCATCCCACACAAAACTGCTCTAGGGGAGGTTCCCACCAGAGATCAGCCTTATCCAGAATTTTATCAGCCACTGGGCACTCAGTGTTACTCTCTCCATAAAGTGTCTAGAAGTCAACTCACAGCAGGATTCCTGTTGAGCTTTCTAACAACCATTCCAGCTATTTTATGGAATCCATTTGTCAAAAAAATATAAATTGAGAGCCAGCCCTGATGGCCTAGCAGTTAAAGTTTGGCACATTCTGCTTCGGAGACCCAGGTTCAGTTCCTGGGGGCAGAACCACACCACTTGTCTGTCAGTAGCCATGCTGTGGTGGCGGCTCATATAGAAGAACTAGAAGAATTCACAACTATGTACTGGGGCTTTGGGGAGGAAAAAAAAATAGTGGAAGATTGACAACAAATGTTAACTCAGAGCGAACTTTTCCCAGCAAAAAAAAAAAA